GTAGATTTTGTATGTATGTATTTTACATACAAAATATGTAGATTTTGCACTCTACATATTTGTATTTGTACTCCTTCCAAACTCAGTCTTAATAATTAACTTCTTACGACTCGATTTGGAAAGAGCACGTATACAAATATGGAGAGCGCAAAACCTTTTATTTTATATTATTTTGTATGTATTTGTATAACTAAACTGATCCTAATAGATTAAATATCAGTACTGCAACTAGAAATGTATCATGTGGCATTATATTAATGGTGTGGGGCTGAAGCCAAACAGTTGGAATGACACGAACCAGGCACGGGCCAATGGAGGCCATTATTTAAAGAGATGGCACTATGAGTAACAGGGGACCCAACAAAAAGAAAATGTCTTCGCATACAGAGAGGAAGTTATTATATCCGAACTAAAAAAAACAGAACCAGAAAAGACATTGAATGTTGGAGGGTGACCATGTAGAATATTGAGAGGGAGAGAGAAGGAGAGTTTGGTAATGATCATTGATTGTTCATACAAATGTCAATACAACACTTGATAAACAGTCTCTCTCTCTCCATTTTGTTTACCATTCAATTAAATTAGCTACAAAAAACAGATAACAGTTAAGAGTTTTAAAGCATTGCGGTTGCAATGGATTGTACCAAGAACATGAACATAACAGACCACGAAATGCACAAGTACAAAACATGAAGTGCAATTGCACCTATAATAGAGCCTCCTTAGGTGAGACCCACATCTTAATGTAATGGTGATTTGTACTCCAAGCAGCTTATTGACCTAGAGATGAGATATATATGGTGCAGGGAGGTGAATGAACCCAACCAATAACACTAAAACAATAACTACCCCAAGTTCTTCCAAGTACCTAAACACCCTTCAATGAGTTCAATCTTTACTTATTGGACCAAAATACCCATTTGCCTCAATTTTCAATAAGGATACCAGAACTGTGTGTAGGCATGAAGGAGACCAACTGTATCTCCTACATAAAAAAAACCCTGTGCGGATAATTAGTGCCAATTAGGATGCGACAGCATGTACAGATCAGAGCCAGCTGGGATTTGATGTGATGTACAACTTCACAAGGGATATTAAATTTGCTATAAGCTAAGGCTTCCAAAAACCCTCCATTACTATGGGGATGTTTGGTACTGTCAACTGTGGTTGCATGTTTCTACTTGAAATGCTGCCACACCAGTGGGCCTCAATTCTCTGTTTGGTTGAGACTGTTTTGAGTTAACAGTCACAAAACGTTTCTACTTCAAACATGAACTGTATCTCTTGCTTTTGGAGACAAAGTCTCAATGTCCTAACTGACGTGATGCTGACATGGATGAAAAACACAAACTTCTCATCAAATGGTATTCAAGTAACCATATAAACAATGGTTTTAACAAAAAATATAAGGGGCCAAGGACCCTACTTACATGGCAGTTGGCATCAGCCTTTATGAGAATAGGGATTTGCTCCATTTTTACACCGACCTCACAGCACATCCCACCATGTATCGAGAACATCTCCCCTGAATAGTCGTACTGTGTAGCCCGAAAAGGCCAATCAAAGGGTGAAAGCTGAGAAGCATACACGCCGATTGAATCATTTAATTGGTGATCATGATAGTCTGTGTTGGATTGCCGTGGAAATGGAAGTGGAATCATTTTAGAATTTGGGGTGGTCAAGTTTGTTTTTAGCCCACAAATTCCATCAATTCAAAATCATCCTAAAGTCCTTGCCGTAGAGCATTTGGACTGCTTGAAATAATGGCATTTTTCTACTCAAAGAAAAGGCCCTCCTGCCCTTATAAAAGAAAATTGAGAAAACTAAGGCCTCAAAACCCACCGTCCAAACTAAAAATTCAATAGGGGAATTGAAAGGAGCTAGAATACATTAAATCGAACTATAAATAAAACAATTTAGTCAAGGATACATGGTTTTTAAAAACGAACCGGTTAGGGCTCCCGTTGCCGGTTAATGACTGGCCCATTCTGACAAAAATAATTAAAAATTTGAAAAACAGTCAAAACCATTCAAACGGTTAATCGGCCGGTTCAGCGATTTGCTGACCAAAATCAACGATTTTGAAAGAAAAAACAGTTTTAGAGGAAAACAGAACCGACTAAGTGACCGGTTCCCAGTTTTTCCGGTCCAATCCGGTTTTGAAAACAGTGCAAGGATAAATATGGATTAAATCACAACTTCAGTAAAGTCATGGCCCTAATTTGCAATTTGTCAACCAATTTTGACATATGAAGTTATGAACTGATATCTGAATAACAACATATACACCAACGAAATTCATACTTAATTTACTTCTTTTTTTTTATTTTTGTTTGGCGATATTAATAATTGAAACCTTTAATTTTAAACTCTTATTGTAGCATTTTATTAAAAATTAAAAAAAAAAAAAAACTCTTAATACGTTGCAATATTTTGAACCTTGAAAACTAGTGCATGACTGCAATTAAGTATATAAATTGATTATCAACCATAAGAATAAATTAATTATCACATTAATAAAAGAAAGCATCCATAGAGCCAAACAAGAGATAATCAAGAATCATATTTTTCTTCCAAGGAGTTCTTTTCTCCTCTATGGATCAATTTGTTGATGAAGTTGTTGTTGCTTAGTGGGGCCAAATGGGTAGAAGTTCAATAACATTCAATGTATTAAACTAGTATTATTTCCAAACGTGATGGGTAGTGGGTAAATCTTAAGAACAAAAGCATATAAATATATGAATTCCAGATTGAACATTAATTTAAAAGAATTTATTTTTCTGTCAATACCACCACAACTCTGCATCGACTACACACTACCCTCTTCATTAAACCCCTCTTCCTCAACCAAGAAATTAAGATAGGCGTTTAATGGCTCTTTTCTCGTGAAATGTCCAAAACAAATGCACCCACTTGCAATTACTACATTACCCTTGTAGTTTTTTGTGAATGACAGTTGTAAGCTTTAAATAACTACTGTACCTCCTCTTATATTTAAAAGATCAAACATCTGAAACCCCCCAGCCTCCCACCACCCCAGGAGATAAATTGATAGATATAGAGAGAGAGAAGCAAATACATGTTCCTGCAAAATTTTGGAAGAAATAAAGAAAGCCTTCAGGAACATATCCAGAAATCAGGGCTGCCACACTCTGAAGTGATGACCCATCAAACTGGTAGATATGTAGATGCAGAATAGATACGGTTCATAGCTAATATACCATCTTAAATTCTTTATATAGTAAGTTGTTTGTCATCTTTTTTCTTGAGGGTTTTCTGTTTTCGGGTTAAAAAAAAAAGGACTCAGAATTAACTGAAATTAGGAGCGAACCTCATCTTTCCAAAACCGTTGGTTGGGTAGTTGAATTAACACACACAAAAAAAAAAAAAAGAAACACAAAATTACCAAAATAACCTTTTAATTCCCATAATTTGACGAAAGCACCATCCTCATGTAGTGAATGACTGACATAAGTATGTACTTATCCCATCATGACTAGCACTAAGATGGAATAAATGAAGAAGTTAAACTGGGTACTCTGCCTTGGTGGCCTTCTTAAAACCCATTTTAATAACCATTTACTAAAAGTAGTTTATTATTTAATATACATTTACTAAATTACCAGTCCCCATTTAATTTCTTCTTTTTTTTTTAAGATTTTTAGTTGTATAACACAATAAACCTGTTGAAAATTTAAAAACATATATACATATAATAAATTAAATATATAAAGCCAATTATTTTTAGAATAAAAAAGAATTTTTAATGAAAATAATACAACATAAAAGCTAAAACTAAATATATATCTTCACCCAATAACCATGAAAGCAACCAAACCCAACCCCTAATAGAAGTATTTAAAAAAAAAAAAAAAGATTGGGAATCAGGTACTAAAAACAGAAGTATGAAAAGGACTAGAAATACAATATGCATGTAAATAAAGGTGAAAATTAAGGGAAATATAAATACAAATTTATCGTCAAATTCTCATATACTGGTGCATTAATTCAAAAGAATGGGTGAATAAACCTAAAAACAGCCACCATTAATTTTTCCATTAAATACATGCTGGAAGAATATTTGCCACGTAGGCTACTAACAGTCTATATTTGGAGAACATATCTGCCCATATTGATTTTTCTCAATTTATTGTCTTTTCATCAACTAGATTCTTAATAATATCACATTTAATTTAAACTACTGTTAGAGGCCCAAACACAAGAAAGCTGTAAATATACAGCGAGAAGTTGAAATAGCACCTTATTGATGGCATGGTTATGACTTATGAGACCCACAAGGCCAATGTGGGACTTACTGGAGAGGAACCAAAGCTGTCTTCTGTGTATATATTTGAATGGAAAACAACCAAAAACTCAAACCAGAGAAGGGAGAAAGGAAAACCAATATACATTAAGCCACTGAGTATAGAATAGAAAAGAGTTGAAAATCGTTTTTTAGTTTATCTGTTCTCTTCTTTCTTCCTGTGATTCAATATAATCTTTTGGTTTTTTCGAATTTCTTATTTTTCCTTTTTTTTCTCTCTCTTATAGCCGTTGTGTTTGATTCTTGTCTGACATATTCTCACATAAACACCGACTATGTGTGCAATGAATAAAGGCACCCTGCACTTGTAATTGCACTATTAACTGCAATTTTTCATTCTGCAAACATCTTGGGATTTTTTCCACAATTAATACATTTCCTGGCCTCAATTTACGCTCTTCTTCTACCAATCCTTCAATTCAATTCAATTCAATCCTCCCTTTCCTCTCCTCTCTCCATTTCTATTTCCCTCTCTCTCTCTCTCTCTCTCTCTCTCTCACCTTTCCTCTATAACCTTCAACCCTCCACATTAATAAATTAAGATTTAAGGAAAGCCCATCTCCCTCCCTTCAACTCATTATATAATGGCCATAGAAGTTCATCATCATCATCAACAACAACAGCTAGACCGTGTTGGTACTGGTAGTGCTGGTGGTGGTGGTGGTGGTGGTGGTGGTGGTGGTGGTGGTGGTGGTGGTGATAGGAGAGGCGAGACGCCCATAACAACTGACGCTGGTTTTGGTGCTGCTGATAGTTCCTTCTCCAGTTCAGGCAGCCTAGCCCATCTTCACCGAGCCATCCCTGTAACTCTCGATCTCTTCCATCCTAAGCTCGCTTCTTCCCCAGTTGAATTAGACAAACCCACTCCTCTGCCTTTAGGTTGGCAGAAGTTCCTCAACCTCAAGGTAGCGTATTACCTTAGTTAAGCCTCTAAGTCTCTGTTTCAATTAACATATGTGACAAATCCTTCTGCATCTTCTCCAGTTTCTTCATCTTCCTCGAATTAATTAGTTTGTGTTCAGTTGCATATCTATACAGAGTATCTACTGTTTCATCATCGTTTACAGATATGGGTATGCCTGTTTTGATTGATTTCTGCTTTCTCTCTTTCTGTCTGTGTAGACCGGCGCCATCTACTATACCAAGGAAACGCAAAGCCGTGATTCTGCAGAAACAGAAGCCATGAGCCGCAACGGGAAAAGCCCAAAGCTAGACTTGAAGCTCAATCTGTCACCTCCAAGGGCCAACCCACAAGTTGAATCCCCAAATCGATCATCCTCCTTGTCTTCGCCGAGCTCCTGTGTGTCATCAGAGCTGAACCCAGAAGAGACTGTCCATTATTCCAACAGTCCTGAAGCGACCTCCATGGTGTTGGTTGGTTGCCCACGTTGCCTCATGTACGTGATGCTGTCGGAGGAAGACCCGAGGTGCCCAAAATGTAAGAGCACCGTGTTACTTGATTTCCTTAGCGACAACAGTCACAAGAGCGGCAGCAGCAGTAAGAATTCCAAGAAGACGAGGAACAACTAGATTGATTTCCATTTTAACAAATTGAACACCAGTAGTCACCTCCCCTTTTGTTACCATCTCTCTCTCTCTACTGTCTTACGGTGGACGGAATATCTGCTTTTTTTTTGATAAAAAATAGTATATCTGTTTAGTCCTGCTTCCCTCCCTCTTCAGCTGAATGTAACCGGGCTCACTGCAGCAGCCCAGATTTTCTAATGTGACGTTACGTACATTTAACTTCTTTTTCCTTCTTCCGCTCTCTGTCTTTGCTGCATAAGGGATGGCTCCACGTGGCAAAAAAAGTGGGATCATGTAGGAAAGCTTCTTACCATGCCCCATCAGGAAACTTTTTACACATACATGGTATAATATTATTATCCAATTAAAAAATTGATCCATAGAAAACACAGGAAAGAACTGAAATTTTCTAGCCACCAACTCTTCCCACATGACACTCATTCATAGGGATATGTTTTCTTTTTATTATTACAAATTTACAATAAAGAGGCGCGGTGGGGACCGAGCAGGGTGCATGTGAGGTTCATTGGTCTTAGTGTCTGACCACCGAGGGTTTGCAGTTACACAGGTTTTGCTTTGAGGGATAATAAGTGACCATTACTCTGCACTGGTTTTATTAGTGGCCATCTTGGTGACTGGGTCTTCAATGAGATCTGAGAACCGATCTCACACACCCTTTGTATTCAAGGTGCAAAATGAGTTTTTTAACCTCAAAGCTATCTCTATTCTTTTATTTCATCTAAATCAATGCATATAAAGAGATGCATGCATCCATGTTTACTGTTTATGTAGGACTTTTGTTAGGGCCAGAGAAGAAAAAGAAATAAATAAAATAAAAAACAAATGGGGTTGAGGAATAATTGAGTTAGGACTTAGGAGGAGGGAGGAAGGGGAAGAGAGAAGGTTGATTAAGTAAATGATTAAATGAGGCTGAGGGCAGAGAAAAGAAGTGGGCTTGGGTAGCTCGAGCATTGAAAAGAAGGAGCTATTTTGGATTGAATTTCCATAAAAACAATTAAATGCAAGAGCAATTGAGACGGTTGAGAATAATGAAGGTATTACGTCAGATGATAAATACAAATTTATTTCCACCTTCGCCTTCTTCCATTCATACCATTTAGTAAATGCCATCTCATGTAGCCTGTAGCCATACCCTATTTCGGTAAGCTGTTCTCCCCACTTCACGCTGCCTCCTGCCTGTTCAATTCAATTTTCTTCCTCTTTCAGTACCCCAACCCTAATAAACAAACATACGCGCTTCTTCTCCCTCTCTCTCTCAGCATAGAAACACGCTTTCTTCCTCTCTTTTTTTCTTTCTCTAAACCCTAAAGCTCAATTTAGGAAATATGCATACAAATATATTCGGTATAAATATACTGTCATCTTTTTATGAACCGTGCATATTTGTAGTCTGCACTGAACATACATGCATTTGCACCCTTCCTATATGAAAACCGAAAACTAATTTATTCCAATTTAGACTTAAAAGAACTAGAAGTTGTGATAAAGCTCACCATGAGTTTTCACCATTTCTCTTAAAGTCACCTCAACTTTTCAAAATGTCTAAAACTCATCATGTCAGTAAGTTCTTATTTTCCAAAACTCACATTCCGTTAGTGCACTGTTAATGCTTCTTAACAGAGGTGTCCATGTCATCATAAATAACAATTTTCATGACCAAATTACCCTTGAATGGTGAGTTAGAGGAAAAATGGTCTTTTCAGTTTTCAATTTTCTTGCTTTTTTTTGCATTTTTAGTGTTTTGTTATAATTTCCAATGTTTTTTATTTCTATTTTTTTACATTTTTCTATTTTCTACAATCTATAAATTTTTTGTGTTTTTTCTACAATTTTTATTTTCTGATTTTGCTTTTCAATTTCTATAGTTTCTATAATTGGAAAATAATTTTTTATTTTGTTTGCAATTTCTATAACTTTTTTATATTTTTTGTAATTTCTGTGTTTTTATGTATTTTATATTTAAAAATTTTGAACTTTTTCCTTTTTTCATGTCTAAATATTAAAATGGTAATATATTAACACCCATTAATTTATTTTGTATATATTTTATATTTTTCTATGAAGGTTAAAATGGTAATATATTAACACCCATTAATCTGTTTAACGTCAAGTTAGTGATATGGTGAGTTTTAGACATTTTGAAAAGTTGTAGTAAGTTTAAGAGAAATGTTGAAAACTCATGGTGAGTTTTAGACAATTACCCTTTATATTTTATATAGACATGCAAACCATCAAAGGACCCGAAATGTTTGATACCTTATTCAAACTCGTATCCAATTATCTTGATATAAACAAAACTTTTAACTAAAAAATCATATTTTATATTTAGGCCTCGTTTGATTTTTGGTAAGTTACTTACCCCAGTAAATGCACTTACTCAGGTAAGCGTTTCCCAGGAAAAACTTATCCGGGTAAGTGCATTTACCCATGTTTTTTTTATTTCCCATGCAAATAAGACAATGACCATTTTAGCCATAAAAATTCATTATTACAAGGGGCATTTTTGTCCCATTCAAGTGTTGGCAACTACTTTCCCCCAAGGTGGGAAAGTTATTTACCCACCTAGGAGATGGGTATCATCACTTGCCTAGGTAAGTGATACCTAAGAAATAAACTTTCCCTCGTCCCCACATAAATCTGAAAAAAGAACACCCCCTTGGGCTAAAGAATGCAACAAATACAAATATTTTGTATGTCAAAACCTCCCGAACATTGTATTTGCATTGTACATATTTGTATTACACCCTTCCCAAACTGAGCTTTGCATAGTATTAAAAGTAATTAGCCTTTTTTAAACTTTTTATTTAATTGTCATTCCAATCAGAGCAAAGCATGCTTTTGCAAGCCTTCAGCAAGTACAAAATTATTCTGTTTGCATGCCAGGGGCCCCCATAGAATGTGCGTGGAAACCTCTCTCTCTCTCTCTCTCTCTCTCTCTCTCTCTCTCTCTCTCTCTCATGCTATTCCTAATTAAGGAACAAGCATCCTTGCATTCTTATTTCTTAGTATGGTTCAACACCAAAAACAAGACCATCGTTCTCTTACACGTTTTGGGACAATATTCTGCCAAACAATGAAGCAGTTCAATATGGGCTGGGCCAAGTGCCAACCCAGCAAGAGATCACAGTAATCACAATAATGAACGTTGGGTGAGCTTCACCTGACTCCGGATCTCCTGCCCACGAGAACTCTGCCCATGTCTACCCACAACACACTACCCCCATGAATTGAAAACATCTCCCCTTACATAAATACTATGTAAGAAGATGAGATATTCTCCATGTGTGACTGAGATGTTATGTGGGTAGACGTAGGCAGAGTTTATGTGGGCAGGAGATCCGGACTCGCTTCACGCGTTCTTTCTAGTCAAAATGATCACCTCTCTATAATTAGCAGGTTCTTGGACAATTGTGTTGCCCCCGGTCCCTAGCTATCTCTATCTGATCAGTTTTATGAAATCAACTTCTCAGCAGTATGAAACTTTGAATTAGTGGCGTGAAGCTGCACTCAGAAATAAGAATGGTAGCTGGATCGTTTCTTTTCAAGTCAAAACAGGACAGCAACTTTCTAGGTGCGGAATTGACAGGAAGCATGAGAATTCTAAGTTCTAGGTCATTTGCATAAACATTTTTATTGGAATGTTTCATTCTATCCCACTGGTTCTTCATTTCTGGCCCCAGATTGAGCGATTCCCATCAGTTCGAAGATCAAGTACCAATTCTAGCCTAAGGAAAATAGCCTGTGTTTTGTTCTCAACAATGGCACCATCAGGAATCAGGAATCAGGACCCCACTCGCATAAGGACAAGTCTCGAGTCATTAAAATTTAAAACTCTAAACCCTTGAAATCGTCCGTCCAATTTGTATAAGCTCTTTATCAGCAAAGATTCTCTTGCTTCTTCAGTTGAAAGGTTACCGAATCGGAAAAGTTCATCTGTATTCTAACCATGCTCTGCAACCGGTTGTTATAACCAGAGTAATGCAAAGAGAAGAAGACAACTAATACCAAGACGTGGACAATTACATGTATATAGTTGCAAATGATGATTCACAAAATCTACATTTGTTGCAGCTTTGCCATCTCTCATGCATGTATATAGGTTTCCCTGCAGTTCTGTTGCCAGTTGCCACACATCCATTTCCGGACAGGTCTGCCTTCATAGTTTCATATCCTTCTGCATTAAAAGAATCGAAGAACTGTGCTCTTCTATATGCATCACACAATTATATGACTCGAACCTAAATTTTGCATAGGGGAGTAGCAGGAGCGTGAAGAGAATATATATATATATATATATATATATATATATATATAACAAGAAACGAGAGCTGGATACAATTCACAATCTGCAGACTTATACTTGTATGATGATGGATCATCACTTAAATCACATGGGGTGACAACGTGCCCAACTGAGTACTCCACCTGACCCAAAACCGCATTGAAGATTTTGCTAATAAGTCGGAACCAATGTCATGGAAGTAGAATCAGACCATACAATTGGGATTGACATGGCATGAACCACGCTTGCATGGACACCTCGTTTTATTTTCAGGCTCACTGAATTGGTCCAATGTAACTCGTACTTGGAACTATGGACTGAATGAAGAACTTAAATACTTTACTCTAAATTCAACTTTAGGAAATGGTATTTCTTGGAGCACTGTACAACATGGAGCTAGCCATTTCTGTCTTTAAATGCATGTACCGCATCAATTGGAATGAATTTCTACTTGATTCATCATGCTTACAGCTTGAAATACTTCGGTATTATATTCCATTAAATAGGATAGGGTGAATTGAACAAATATTGTTGAAAATTGAAACCATACAGAGATAGCATATGGATGGTCCCTAAAAATGCCCTTACCCAACGTATTGTCTTAAGTTTTTACCCAATAAAATATGGTATAAAGAGAGATAAATGCAGAGATATTCATCAGTCAACTGTATTTAGCCTTGGCACATACAATTATAGATATTGTGAGATTCCTTAAATGATCAATGAATCTTATTGTGGCAAACTAGTTTCTAGCTCAACATGAGTCTCTAATTTCCTTTTATGGAAAAAAATATCAGCCCAAACCATCTTTTATTTTTTCAATCAGTGCCCAGACAACCTTGTCACATTACATGCAAAATAAATCTACTTTTTCAGGCAAGTTTTATATTAAAATTTTAAACTTTAAATTCACCACAAATTAACCATACAAGGTCTCAAAGTAAACACCATACCAGGCAACGCATATAGCCAATAATGATATGGACCGATTGAACATGTGACAAATCAAATGTCCCTACCCAATGATGGTCTGGACACAAGATCCCTCCATGTAGCAGAAATAGGGTTAATCATGTAGGGAAACTCCCTATTTGACCCAACTAGTGAGCCTTTTTCATACATCCACAATATATACACAACCTGCATGCTTCTCCAGATACATATTACTTTTACTCTCCTTTTGTATTTTTTTCTTGAAAAGTTTAACTGATTCATTAGAAAAGGAAACTGTGTACATGAAGGGATATAGACATAATACATACAAAAAGAGCTAGATAGAGCAGCTCCATCCTTGAACCAAAAAATTAGGATTTAGGAATTAATAGAGCTATAGTTGTATGAGATGAACCACTCCCCTTTCTAGCTAGGCTATGCTTCAGTTTTAATATCTCTAGGTCCACTGCAAACTATTGGGAAGGAATTAAAGATATCTCTAAACTCATTGAGATAGCCAACTTCAATAGCTCTGAACCTGTTAGAATATTGTTTGTATAAGCGGCAGGATAATAGCATAAAGAGGTACAAGGTACATTTGGTGGCAAAGGGTTACACCCAAACTAAAGGTAATTATTTCCTTGGCTGCACATTTTGACCAACTCTTGTTTCAGCTTGATATTAAAAATGCCTTTCTCATTGGTAAACTTCATGAGGTGTATATGGACCAATCTCCAGGGCATGTTGCTCAAGGGGAGGTAGGTAAAGCTGTAGGCTGAGAAAGGCAACTTCTGGCTGAAACAATTTCCATGAGCCATGTTTGGGCGATTAAGCAATGTGGTGCAGGAGCTTAAATCAGTGCAATATGCACTCTGTGTTTAGTAGAGAATACAGATACTTCATCAGGGAAGATCATCTTGGTGGTCTACGTTGATGATATAATTATTACAGGGAGTATGTAGTTATGTACAAGGAATTGATGAATCAAAACAGCTTTTACAACAGCAGTTCCAAACCAAGAACTTGGGGTAGTTGAAGTATGTCTTGAGAATTGAAGTGGCAATATGCACTCTACTAAACACAGAGTGCATATTGCACTGATGTAGGAGGAATTGATGAATCAAAACAGCTTTTACAACAGCAGTTCCAAAATCCAAACCAAGAACTTGTGGTAGTTGAAGTATGTCTTGAGAATCGAAGTGGCAGGTCAAGATGGGTAATTTCTTTATCACAACAGAAACATGTTCTTATTTGTTAGGTGAAACAGTATTGCTAGGAGCCAAACCAATGGAGACTATAATAAATCCAAATGTTAAGATGACTGATTATCAGGGTGAGCCATTAAGTGGCCCAGGGAGATACAGATGACTTGGTAAACTCATTAATCTCACTATCACCAAGTCAGATACATCCTTTTCCGTGGGTGTATTGAGCCAAAACATTCAAATCCCATGTCAAATCATTGGGAAGGAGTAATCAGAGTACTACATTACTTGAAAAGGCTCCAGGCCATGGTTTGTTATACAAGAAAGGGGAGAGTTGGTGCTAGAGGGTATTCAAATGCGGACTGGGTAGAATCCACTATAAATAGAAAGTCTACCAATAGGTTATTGTACCTTTTCTTGGAAGAAATTTTCTTACCTGGAAGAGTAAAAAGAAAAAAGTGTAGTTGCTAAAAGTAGCACTGAAGCAGAGCATAGGGCCATGGAACACACGAAACGGAATTTCCTGCCTACTGCTGTCTACCCACATGATACAGTGGTGACAGCAAAAAACAAAAATTAAAGGATGGGACAGAGTGAGGGTGTCGATACAAAAAGAACTGAACCTGAAGGCCAGGCTGCTTCTGAGGATTTTTGAAGACTGTAAAGTGCTGATGAAAATGCTAAGAGGAATTAAGAGACCTACGAGCAAAGGTTGTCCAAAAAGAAACGCTCTGGTTCCAAAACCTCTGGGTGGAAAATCTCAAAATAGTGGGAAAATGGAAGAAGACTGAGTTAATCCCCATGACCTTTAGCTCACCGTTGATGGTTTCAAATGGAAGCTCTGGATCATCTCTTCAGTGGAAGCTTCTTTGCACTCAGCCTAGACAAAGGAGGAAAAAGATGATGGCATGTCCAAGCTCCAAACACCTGGTGGCATCTCATTGGAATTAGAGGGCTTACGTTCAGTTTTCACAAAAATTAAAGCTTTTATTCAAAATTCGCAGATGGCCAAAAGATGAAAGGATGTGTTCTGCTCCCTTGGACCATTAGACGGAAATCTGACAGAAAAGGTGAATATAGTGTTTATCTCCCAATGTGTTTCCTTTGTAAAGCAAGCAATGAATCTTCTTTCCATTTACAAATCTCATGCTCATTTGTTTCAAAATTTTGACATTTTTTTTGTTCTCTTTTTTTTGTGGATGCAAATGGAATCCTCCCTAGTTCTTGAAAGATCTTTTCATATGCACTTTTTTTCCTCCGCATTCTGGAGATGTACTAGAGCTGCAATGATTTGGTATATCAAGGAGGAAAGAAATGCAAGGATTTTTCAAATGAACTTCACATGAAAGAAGAAAGAGATATCTCAGATTGAGTTGCTCATAAGGTGAAGACCATAAATATATTTGCACATTTCGCAACTATTGATATCATCAGATGCTGGCAAGCAGTGGCTAATGCACCCTAGGTAAGGAACAATGCTATCACACTCCACAAGTCTTTGTAAAGATGAAATTTGACAGATGTGGCATGGGCAACCGAAGACAATATGGAATTGGGGGAGAGGCAGACAAGGCCACAATGGAGTGGCCTGCAATGTGGTTGATGCCTCTCCCTCACCTATAGACAACAGAACTCCTTGTAGAATATGGTTTTGACTCTGTAGGCTTTAATGGTATCAAAATGGGTGCTTAGTAGCAGGTATCCAAACCATTTTGCTGTGATATTCAACACATTCACGCACTAGTGGTAAGTTGAGAGGACTAAATGCAGTTTATGAATCCATAGCTGCCCTAATGCATGATATGATAATTCATATCCATATCAATGATGTGAAACTTGACAGGCATCTCCATGCCAACGATGCTGAATGCCATAGTACATACCCCAAAACATCCTAGCTGTTGTTGTCGAAGCCTAAAATTTGCACGGACCAAAATAATATGGCTGCTTGGTATCACAAGTTGGTGTCTCAAGAACAAAGGCATTAGATTCAAAGGCACTCCTAGATCCACCATGGTGCACTTCAATCTCGTCCTTCAAGTCACAGTGGGAATGTTTAAAGGCCGGCTATGGAATTTGAGCCCCATGACATTTTCCTCCATGAATACAATAGGTTGAGGCAACCTTTGCCCTGCAGGGATACATTAACACAAGGAGACACCCTTCATTATTTGTTAGCACAATATCTAGGGCAGCTTTACTGATCATCCATCTAGTTCGGCAAGGAAAAAAAATCATCTAATCAAAGAAATGCCAAAAGTTGGTACTTTCTGCAATTTTCTCAACAAGATCGTGCTATTCCAAGTTGTCTTCCAGAGAACTTTCTAAGTTTCTGTAGATTCCGCCATCAAAAGGTCTGTCCTTCCTCGTTGCCAATCTTCTTGTCACAAGAACTTAGGTACCATGTTACAAACATTTGTATAACCTCCTTCCCTCTTTTGTAAGGTGCTAGTGGCTTATCATGCACCGTAAGTCCCAAGGACCAGGTACAACAATGGTGCATTCCTGTTTCTGTAAAAAGCTTTGTTAGTTGGATGGCACATTACTAGTATGAACTAAAAAAGGCAAAAGCCCTTGGTCGGCTGTGCCACTGACAATACTGTGGATCATTTGGCTATAAAGAAACTCAAGAGTTTTTAGTCAAAAAAGTAACCTAGAGGAGGTGCTGATCAACCATGCTATTCAAGAACTCCGAAACTGGACAACAATTCTTAGTTTTTTACGGGAGAATGTCTCTTCTCTTCCTTTTTTTTCTGGTTGTTGCTTTTTTTGGGGGTCCTTGAGATAGGTTGTTTATATGTACAGAAATTCTTTGTACAGGACCTTGTATACACTTTTGGACTTTAATACAATACATCATAGCTATTTCAAAAAGAAAAGACAAAAGAAACCAAAACCAGAGATCCGAAGTCTCATTAGGTGGGGTATTGCAAAGAGAGATTTGCAATCTCATCACAAGTATATGGCAGAACCTGAGGCTGAGATAAATAGAAGCAGCAGCAAACTGGAGCAAGGCATTTCAGGAAAAAAAAACAAGAAGAGGGTGAGGTGGTAGAGAGAATAAAAAAATGAGTGGAATCTCATGAAGGAAGGTCACTGGTTCAATTTGGTAAAGCTAATAGCTAGATGCTTTCTTTGGATTGGGTTTATCTTATTTTGTCTTCTTCATTGTGGAGGGTCTGTTATTTTGTTTTGGTGATTTGTCATTTGTTGTTGGACACTAGGTCTTTTCTATACAAGTCCATAATCCAAACACAAGTGCATCAAGATCAGGGAATATCTTGGGGTAAATAAGTAAGAATGTTAGGGGTAGCATATCTACGAACAACTAAAGAAGGATGGTAAAGGTGAATGGGTTGCTAGTTTTTCACAAAATCAAAATGAATAAACTTTACATCCACAGTAAATTTATAGGCAGAATGAATAAAATTTACAGCTACAGTAACCCTAAGGGGTATGAAACCTACAAAAGTTGAGAAAACTTTTCAGTAACATGAATGACAGCAAAAACTGCCTAGGAAAGAAAAAGGAGCACAGATGGAATATTTTTGCAACTTAATTCATCTATCACCTTTAATAATGACTAATGATGACCCACCGGGCTGTCATTCCAAAATCAACAGTAATCCAACTTATAGCATTGTACTTGCTTTTAATGAAATTAGTCCACATGGTCAGAAAGATATGCACTGTTATTCCTAAATCAGCACAAGAATCTGACCATTCAAATTAATCTATAGAACATATTCAAACAAAACCAATGAAGTAATATTAATTCTGAAAATTAGGTATACAACTAGAACTGAAGAGATTAATGATTAGTGATGATCCACCAAGCTGTCATCCAAAATCAACAAGAGTCAAATTTAAAGTGTGCTACTTGCTTTTAATGAAATTAGCACATAGAAAGATATGCATTGCCATTAGTTAGAAAGATATGCATTGCCATTCCTAAACCAGCATAACAAGCCAACCATCGAAATTAATCCACAAAACATTATCCAAAAAAGATTATTGAACAAAGTAATATTAATTCTAAAAGTTAGGTATATGACTAGAACTAAAGAGAATGAACTCTAGATTGTACCTGCTTGTATGATATCAGTGACAGACCTGATCCCAAACTTTCTTGTACACTTGAACAAAGCAGTTTTACTAAAAAAACAGAGGAGCCAAAGATGCACAATTCCAAGGGCCTGAAGATAGTTTCCAATAAAAGTGGATGAACTAATCAAGAATTATCCACACTGCATTCTCCCCATCCACTACTGCTTCTGATGTATTTATCCACAATACCAAATTCTTTATTCTGAGCAATCCTTCTGGCATAATTCTCAGTTGAAATTGGACCCTTCTTCAATCTTCGGTAGTAGACAATGTCCCATGGCCACAGACGGGCAGAACCAAAGTAATCCTCTATAGGTAAGTTATTTTCATTTTCTCCAGGCAGGGGGAGGCCATAGTGCTTCAGAACCACAAACATCTCTTGTGAGGATATTCTTGTAGAACTTTTAGTCAGGGAATTAACAGGAACCTCAGGATTCTTCCTCCCAATGTTTTCTTCCATGTGTTCCCTCACCAATGGCCTTGATTTCTGATGCTCCCCCTTCTCTAGGGAATTCTCTGAAGGTGAATTGTCAATGGGCAAAACACTTTTTTCCAGTGGATTTATTACTTCATGATCATTCCTAAGCTTACTATGGTTTCCATCAATATCCAGCCCCCCAAAATGATCCCTTTTCATCTCATCCTCTATATTAATGGGCAATAATTTATTTTCATTGTTCACGATCATGCTTGCACTTTTTAGTTTAGAGTTGTCTGAACTTGCATCACCTTCTATCAGTTCTTTCTGTTCAACCAAAAGTTTCTTAGGTTGGGTGCTAATGGCATTCTCCAAGCAGCCCTTTGGGGAAGGACCAGCTGCCTTCATCTGTGTCTTATTTAGAGAAGATGGTAAAGGCCTACCAAGTGATACGGACAAAGACAAGGATGGAGAGTGAGATCTGGACCTGAATCTGGATCTCAAACTTTTAGACCTTGAATATGATGTTGAAGTAGGCCTTGAATTGGAAGACATTGACCGTGACCTGGGAGACACTGATCTTGATCTGGATCGGGAACTAGTCCTCGAAGCAGATTTTGAGGACCGTGACTGTGATCTTGAACTGTGTTCAGTAGATTTTGAATGTGAAGGAGATAAAGTTGACCTCCTTGCTTTCTTTCCATGATGCTTCTTTGGAATCTCATGCTCCCTCTTCTTATCTCGATGGTTCCTTCTGAGCTGAGAATGGCGTTCTTCCTTGGCTATAGTAGATATTTCATTCTTCCTAATCAACTTCTGAGACCTTCCAGGACCATATGCCTTTCTATCATTCCCGTGCTTCCTTGACAATAGGGTATCTTTACCTGATTTTGGCCTCCCCCAGGAAGTAGATCTTAGTCTTTTCAAATCCCTTTCACCTCCACCCCTGAAACTGATTCCATCATCTCGTCTTCTGTCAAACCGGGTAAGCTTCTCTCGCCGGGAAGCATCTGCCTGGGGACAGTTACGCATTAGGTGACCCATTAGCCCACAATTGTAGCAGGCCTGTTGAGGTTTGAGGTTGTCAGTATTCTTCAACATTGTCTCACCCCCGCGCTCTCTCCAATGTTTCTCTTGAGAATTTCCTCGATTAGGAGAACCATAAGAACTGGTCATCTGATGGTTTCCATCATCATCTCTTCTATTGTAACCATGATAAGGTTCATAACGATCAAAATCAGGTCCGTTTTCCACTTCATTTGCATTCAATGGGTCACTAGCAGATTCACCCCATCTACCATTCTCCACGGGATTAGGATCAATAGAACCACCTTCATCCATCAATCCCTCTTTTGAATTATGCCATCTTTCTTCATTATCTTCAATATCCTCCCTACCATACGATGCTTCTCTGTCAAGTGAATCAACCATTGGTGGAACTCCATCAGCACTCTCAACATGCTTTGTTCCCATTTCATATTCTGGCTCATCATGAGAACCTATTTTTTTCATGCCATAAATATCTATTCTTGTATTCCTCCCACGGTATAATTCACGAAATCTGCCACCTCTAGAAGGCCTCTGGAAATACCTTGGCTGTTTGTTGGACCATGTAAGAGATATCGAATCACCACAAATATTCTTACCTCGTAATGCTCTCAAAGCTCTCTCTGCATTATAAGGAACATCATAAACCACAAATCCATATCCATCTTTTAGCTGTATGTTACATCGCCCAAACCTCCGGAAAACACGTTCGAGTTCATCTCGCCGAACATGAGATGATAGATTACCCATAAACAAAGACATCTACAACAAAAGCGAACAAATATTTTTTATTTTTTGCAGATTAATACAATTAAGCCATAAAATTTAAGTACAAATTTTGGAATGCATTAATTAGAGAAATATTTATCAGTGTGATAACATCAAAACAGAGCACAGGTACCAGGATGGTCAATACCACAAGGAACTGGAAAGGATAATCAATACAATGCAGCTTCTTATATTCAAGAATCCTTATGCTTAGGGGTAAAAGATGCAGCAAATTGCAAAATACAATAACCTAATTGCCAAAATGGTATTGGACCTTGAGAATTTATATATGGTTCTGTTTCATGATCAATGACACACCAAAACAACATTAAAAAACCCCACTATGATCAAAGCAATGCATCTTCTTAACAGGCCGCGTTAAGATTTTACAGCTCCAGCAGCTAAGTTATAGAAAATATCAACACACGCCAGGTATATATAAAGATTTTACCAGCTTAGCTAAGAAACTTTTGGCCATCTGGGAAAAACCTTGTTTTCCAATAAAAGTCGCCCAGAATAGGCGGACGGAAGGGTTCGCGATAATAAAAACTATATATTGTCGAAATCATAAATAAACTAGGTTATGAAACGAATGAAAGAACAACTTTATGACCTTCTTTTATTCAGAGAGGACTTACACTAAAATCAGTAAGAAACCCTAATTGAACGAGTTTCAACTTTCAGTTTCTGAACTTAAAACACCAGAACGACAATCTAGCGCAAACCTGGTAACAAACAAATAAAGCAACATCTAAACATTTTGAAAAGAAATAAATAAATAATATATATATATATATATATTATTATATATATCTGTGCGTGTAAATCCGAGCTTCGTCAAATCCTCATGAAACCTTCACTGGTTGAAATGAGCTATACAATAACAAGCTGAATTCATTGAGAATATAAAGTAAAAAGAAAATAGACAGAGGAATACTTTACATTGGAAAGGATTGAGATAGTACCTGGAAATGTGGAGAAAGATCTCTGAGAAAATACTGGTTAAAACCCTAGAATCCGCCACAAAGCAAAATAGAGAACAGCTATCTCGTTATCAGCGCAAGCGCGTAATCTCTCAAGGAGCTGGAATCCTCCGCAGTGAAGAGAAGAATGACCGTCACCGTCTCACCGTAATATGTCCTATCAAGCTCCTTCGTTGCAAGGAAACTGTCCAGATAACATAGTACATGCGATGAAAGGACCTTGGAAAGAAGCTTGCTGCACGGACTGTGCAGGGAGTGTCCATGGCTCGTTAAAATGGTTCCATTTTCGGTAATTTAGATGCCACATGTGAAAAATGTCTAATAACCGTTTGAATGTTATAGTCCCTAGATAATTTGGGCCCATTTGACTAAAGAGAAAATTGTCCAAAAACTTGTATCTTCTCCACTATAGCATCTCTCGTCTCCTTGATTATGTGACAATACAGTGGCTATTGCTTAATTTAAAGCATATGGGAATAGGGCTGCAAGTCGGGTTGGGTTATGTCACGTTGAGGCCAACCCTAGTCCAACCTTAAGCTTAACCCAATTCGACTTTCAATCCGACTTATTCAATCTTAATCTTAACCCTAACTAAATTCCTTCAATCCTAATTCAATTGAACTCAATCCAAAGTCAATTTTGGGTTGGGTTGGGCTCGGGTTGGGCCCAATCCAACCTTCTTCCCATCCCTTAAAATCTTATAGAAATTCTTAATCTTAGATCTTAACTTAACTTTCATTACATATATTCATCCTATGTTTTATTAGTATTTATCTGTTGATGTTTTTATTGGTTCTTTAAGTACAAATTTCAGAAGAAAAAAAAATATTTGAAATGACTATACTTTATTATGATGACTTATAATAGATCTTTTATTGGCAGCAAGCTATATATGGGGGAAAACAATAGATAAGAGATAAAGAATAAAATATTTAAAAAACATAAAATATGTTATCAGGGTTTTAGTATTTTCAATTAGGATTAAGTGAATTAATTATTTTAAATGAAATAAATGATACTATGTGGTAGTGGTTATACAACTATCACGCATCTAAACAAATTAATGTATGATCATATATATATGATATGTACTATAGAGTCGGGTTGGGTCAAGTTAACCAAGGGGTCAATCCTAACCCAACCCAAAATAAAGTTGGATTTGTATATTTCAACCCTAACCCTAACTCAAACATCAACCCAACTCAACCCACCTTCGAGTTGGGTTAGGGTTGGGTTCGGGCTAACCCGATCCAAGTTGCGCCTTACATGGGAGGCCGGGAGCATATTCAAAATCAAAGTATATCAAGCATAAATGTTATATCGTGTGAGAGATCCTAGCATATCGAGATATAGAGATTTAGAAGGTAAATCATCAGAGAATGTGACCGACCTATTGGCTAAGCTACTAACACATAAAGTGATTAAAAAACATGTGAACAACATGGACATAAAGCTTATATCTAATGAGACTCAAGTGCATATGGGAGTTGTTAGATAATGTGCATGCCTCCAGCCCAAACTGATATGTAAATGATTTATTATGAATAAAAGTTCATTTATTTTATGTGTCATGTTTTATTTTGTTGAATTATTCCTTAGTACATATTAGTATCAAGTATAAAGTTGTTGGTTATTATAATATAAGACTATAATGATCACGACTAGTTGATATACTTTGGGAGTTTATCCTATAAGGTTATCATTTTCATGTTGTCCAATGTAGTAGAGCAATGGACCTCAATTACTCATGTTGTGACCTAAGGCGTGAGAGTATAGATGGCAATTTGACCCAACCTCGTGGGGCTCTGCTTTGGTTGGGACAGATTTTTTACCACTAATTGGGGTTTGATATGGGTTTTGGGGAAACTCAAAACTCTAGAGGATTGGGGATGGTATTTGTCGAACATGACCTCAAACCCAACCTGATTATATTATATTACAAAATATAATATAGTTCTAGGTAGGTTTAAAAAATTAAAATTAAAATAAATTTGTAAATATGTAAATAGGAATGACTAGGGCAAGGAGAGGCAAATCCAAGGATCCACATTCCTCGTAGTGATTGGGATTTCTAGCCCCGATGTTAGTTAGAGTAAAATGGGGTGAGGCATGCAAAGCCCAACCCCCACCCTACCCAATTGCCACCTTCCTATATAAGAGTGAGTGTTTGCAATAAACATTGAATTGGACTAAACTTGGTGTAATCTTGGACTTTTATAACAGGTGAAACAATAGCGTGCTGCTTTTGATCCCTTAATATTTGTATTAAATTAAGTATCAGTCTCGTCTATTTTTTACTTGCCAAATAGTGAGATCCTTTTGGAGTCAAATACTTTAGTATGTTGGGTTATTCAATGATGGTATGTCAATTGATTATTAATAGTATAGGATTTGCTACTATGTTAAAACATAGTGAATGTTCTATACAACTTACTATGATGGATACTTAAATAAGTCGATAGTGGAATTACATTAATCCTTCATAAATGACTTGTTAGAAATGGAAGTTTGACATCATATCATAAAGACTAAGAGGGGAAAATTCCTTTCACATATGTGGTATCGAGTGTTACTAGTAGAGAGATAAATTATAAGTAATCACATAATGGGCCGAACCAATTGGTCTTAGGCCTTTAGAATGGTAAATTTCCCAAGTACTTTCAGTGTTTTTAATTGGGCCAATCCATTAAAAATGATAACTGATATGGGTGAATTAGCCTAATGGGTTAGCTAGAGGAGCCATGCCCCCCCCCCCCTATAAATTTCCCCTCCCCTCAAGAAAGCTGAAAATTGTACAAAATTCAAAAGCTTCATTTGAGGCTTCTGGTCTTTTTGAGCTTATGAGATATTTCTTCATTCGAAAGAAAAAACCCCTTGTTTCACTCTCACATCCCACCACCAAGGAATTTGAACACATCGGCCTCCTAATCCGCACATTTGCATAAGCCAATGTGTAAGTGGGGTTCATAAGTGCTAAATACACATTTGAATGCATTAGTGGGTCCCACACATGACATTTCGAAGGTGTATTTCCATCTAAATGCTCAACAATTATTTGTTGTGCTATATGTGTTTCCAAATGGTCTTTGGGTCCTTTTGCTTTTAAGATCAATGAAAAAAATTGCAACTAATCAGTCTTTAGTCTTTCAAGATCTACACATAAATGCTCATCATTCTTTTAAGGTCTTGAGCTATTGGAAGATCTTCTTAAAAAGACTTGCCAAACACCACCTTAATTGGATGTTGTAAAAGTATTAGCTATTGGCCACCATTGAACCAATCTGCCAATGGAGATCATGACAATCAACCATTGAATCTTGCAGCTAGATTGCATACCTAGATTTATCACTTGCAAGGTTCCATTCTAAGCTCCGGAGTGCCTCATTGATTCAACCACCTATTTTGTTAAACAATTTTAGTTTAACATTTAGGCACCAAAGTTGTAAATCTTTTCTCTTGTAATTACATATATAAGACTGGCCAAGCTTGTAACTCATAATTGATTTTGGAGAAGAATACAACTTTTGCTAAAGTTTGTCTCGATCTCTTGCCTTTTTGTTGGACTTGTTATAGAGCCATGAAGATCAAACCCTTAGCACCCCTACATGTGCAAGACTAAGGCCACTACTATTGATGAATTTCAAAACAGAGAGGAAGTGTTTTCATACTACATTAGTCCTTAATTGTTGTAGTGTTAACTATCATTTAGTTCTTTGAGAGAGACTTACTCTGTTTAGAGACTATTTGCCACACCACAGACCAATCAACTAGATAGTCAAAACACATACATACACAAAGGGGGGCAACTAATGATTGATGACCTTATTGCTCCCCATTATTTGCTTTCTTTGTCACCAAATTCTTATTCTCCTCATCTTCCTTTTTCTTTTTTATCTTCTTCAACCATCGTGGGGAGATATCCTTGATGTGCAGTTAGACGCTATGTTCTTAGTGCCTTTTGCTTTTATTGAATCCTATATCATATTTATGTCATATTATGTTAATTTACATATATTTTTAGTTTTTTCCCACCGAGGAAGAATAAATTACATAATTCGTCGAAAAACCGAACCGATCGAAAAATGAGGTTAACCAATATAGAAAACTGACAATTAACCGAACCGACCAGTATACATATATTCTATATATTTTATATATATTTATAATTTTTTTATTATATATTTGTATATGTTTTTATAATATACATTGTAAAAATAAAAAAGATCGAAAAACTGATGAGCCAAACCAACGATTAACCGAACCGGTTAACCAACTAGCTTCGGTTCTGTTCTGGTTACTGATTTTCCAAAAAACAGTAATACTAGTTCAGTTCCAAAATATGCCCCACGGTTTGGTTAACCAAACCGTGAGCACCCCTAATTCACACATTGTACTTTTGGGGTAATAACCACCCATAATTTCATATGTGACAAAAGATCATCTTGAACTTTTAGATTCTAGCAATTTGCCCCACCATTGACATTCCACCAATTAACTTAAAAAAAGGATTTGCATGTTTAAACATTTCTAAAACCCCATAATGCCTTAACATTATTTTGTTAAGAATGTAAAACAAAATACAAAAACAAAAAATTGTAAATAATTTAACAAAGTGAAATAGAAAACATTGAAATTTGCAAAAAAAATAAGAAAGAAAAACATCAAAAAGAAAATTAACAAAGCACAAAAATATAGAAAATTAAATACAAAGAAAAAAAGAGAAAAGTACAAAGACAATGTATGTGTTTGGTAGAGCTTCCAAGTTTAGTAACTAAATGTTTGTACTTGATTTAACTTCAAAACCAACAAAAGTAATAATGTCAACTGTTTATGACAAGTAGGTGCCACTAGGTGCCATTAGGAGCCACATTAGCAGAGCAATGAATAAATGCCTAACGGTAGGTGTGCACATAAATCAAAACCAACTTTTGTGAGTATCTATCTATATATGTACGAATCACTATGATGGGCTAAATGCTGATTTGGTGATGACATGGTGGTGTTTTGATATAAACGCCTATCACGAAACAAAGCACATGCAAAATACATGAGAAAACAAAACTTTGAATAATCATTTTCATAATTTTATCTTTGAAGTCAAGATGCTATAATTTGAAAATTCAAGCAAACCTTTATGACTTTTTCATGAATGAAAGTTTGAGGGGTTAAGTGTCTTCCCCTAAAGTACAAGATGGTAAATGTAATTTACCCAAAAAATGGATAACGAGGGTCCTATCAATATCATCATGCGTGAAGGCTCAACCCTTTCAACCAAGGATAGTTGAGCCAAAAACTCATCAGTTGAGAACAAAATCCGAGTTTGTTTCTTGTATGTTTTTAAAAACACTAGTAAGTGTGCATTTGATAAATTTTTATGAGGACAACGATGATAATGAATAATATGTTTCCAAAATTTTTTATAACTGTTTTATATTTATATATTTATAAAAATTATTCTTATTTATTATATTTATTTATTTTTTTCTATAATATATATTAATTAATATAGAACTTAATGAAAAAATATGAATTAATGATCTAAATATAAGACTTAATGAAAGATAAAAGCGGAGTAATTCAAATTATATTTTTGTGCCCTCACAATCAGAGAGAAACTAAATTAAAAAATAAGGTATTAATTAGGGGTTATAACCGATGGAGGTAACTTTTCACTCTTTTAAGGCATATTTTTCAAAGAAATATCAGATAGGGGCACTAATATATGACGTATATTCACCGTATGACATACACATTGAATTTATATCATAGAAGACAAAATTATCCTCTCCGTTAAAAACCTCCTCCTCCTCTGGAATGTTCTTAGAAATTAGGAAATATACTTTGTTGTGTTCATTGATGAAGGTGGTAATCGCCGGTTGCTTTCTGATGGCTCCCCGCCATGGGTCTCTGCTGCAAATCAGAAGCTTCTTCAGTCACCCAGTGCAGCTTTACAAGCTGATGTTGTGGTGGCCGCAGATGGGTCAGGTAATTACAGGCGGTGGCTGCTGCTCCAAGGAGATGTTAGACAACCCAGAACTGAACCGACAACAGAGGGCTCACCAACGATCAAGCAAAGTCTCGAAATAGCAAACCCAACAGTACTGGAGATGGCATAGGAAGTAAGCCTTGTCTGCATCAAGGAATGGGGGAGACCAGTAAGAGACATCACCCACATCGTCTATGTCTCTTCCAGCGAAATCAGATTACCTGGAGGAGACCCCTACCTGGCGAGCGAGCTCGGCCTGCGCAGTGACGTCGGTCGTGTAATGCTATACTTTCTTGGCTGTTACGGCGCCGTTACCGGCCTTCACGTGGCCAAGGCTGATGTCACGAGCAACAAAAAGTGGGCAGGTTTTTACATCATGAGCGAGGCTGACGCCCAAAAATTCACCATCGGGAGCTTATTGAGAGGAAGCTCTTGGATTGCAGCTGCCGGAGTTAATTTATTAGCAACAAAAAGATGAACAGAGTTTCATACGAAGAATGAAGACTACAATAGGGTTTATTTTCAATTTTAGAGAGAGGATTAAGATTTCTTATAGTTTTTCATTTTTTTAGGAAGAAGAAGAATGGGGTTTCAAAAGCTTCAGTCGATTAACAGGAAGAGAAAGGCGGAGATATTTCTTTGGCTTTTCGATACATTTTGAAAAAAAAGGAAAAAGACAAAGAGGGGCAGTTTTGTTATAAAAAATACATCAAAGGCATTTCTCAATTCTCATACGGCGGATGCATCTCATGTTTGACTGCCCTTTTGTGATATTACCTTGCAAAAGATGCCTTGTCTATGATATTTTATAAAAGAACTATTTTTTATTGCTAATAGAGATCAAAAGTTATCTTTTTATGCTAGAATCCCTATTAATTATTAATTATTATAATATAAAATATGATTTAGTAAAAGTTAATGATACTTAATATAAGACTTCTTAATAAGAAGGATGATGAGTGTACAAATAATTGCTTAAATTAAAAGATTAAAATATTTTAATCAAACAAAAGTTTCATTTTCTCATGCACTACGCTATACGCGCCCCCCCATACGGGAGATGTTTCCAATACACTTTGAGGCGCCAACTGTGATATGTTTCCAACAGACGCTGAGATGTGTAATTAGGGCGCGCTCTGTGGGGGCACAGACGTGAATTCTTTTAATTTGCCATCTCGCATAATTTACCGATCCACGTCATCACGTCATGTCCGAGAAACCGAGTAGGTAGGCCGTGTAGTAAAGAATTTTATCAGATTGCGTTTTTTGAAAGAAATCGTGGTTTGAGAGTAGCACCGCAGAGGTAAAGGACAAGAGACCCAAGTCACGACTGAGAGTGGTATTAACTTTTAACTTTATTCCTTCCAGCCCCTAACCCATACCCATCCGACCCTTTTCATTCTCTCTCTCCTTTTTGGGCTTCCTCAACAGATCCTTATTTCTTCTCCAAAACCACCCTGAGTTGATCAGATCTCAAAGCAGTTGCCTAGGAGAATTGTCTATCATCAATGACGATTGGCTCAGGTGGATCGAGTGTCGTCGGTGAGGTTCCAACTCACGATTGGATTGTTGAAGCAAACTCTATTTTACTTTATTTGTTATGTTTTTTTATCAAAATCTGGTTATGGGTTTCACCTTAATTTCAGATTTCATTTGCATACGCTTTAGAAATCTTAATGGGTCTCTGCAAAAGTGTTTGATTTCATCTTTTGCTTTCATTTTTGCTGGTCTTGCATTCGTATTCGTTCTGATGCATATGCCTTTAAAGGGTTTCTTAATGGCGAATCCTCTAGTTGTTTGTATGGGTTTGACTGGTACTGGTACTGGCAACGTATTTTTGAGCAACTTTGCTCATAGGTTCTGATGCACAATCTCAGTGTTTTTTTTTTTTTTTTCTAAATTTTAATTTATGTCTGTTTCTTCAGCTGATTTTCATATTCTCGCTCTCCTTCCTTAATGTGGAGATCAGGATTTGATGTTGTTAGACAACCTCTACTCTCTTGGTCTATGTTATCTTAAGCATGTAGACATTCGCCAGAAAAAAAGTAAATCGAGCAAACGGAAGGAAGGAACCGATCATTGTAGTCAATTAATGTATCACTTTTATCTACCTAGAAAATTGCTACTTATCAGAGTGGTTGCTATTGATTACCATTTTATTACCGGCTCCTCTATACACTGAATTGAGAGACCTAATAAGAGAAATGTTTGTTCTTCATTTAATGAAATGTTGATTTTTTTTTTCTCTAGTTCCTTTTTTTTTGTGTCACTTGCACCATTCTTTGTGATTTAATCTTTTTACTGGATTTGCTTTTTTTTTTCCTTTTTTGTTTTTTTTTCTTGCACCCGGTTATATGTACTTCTCACTTGGAATAAGTAACACGGTCTTTGAAGATTTCTTATAGCATTACAAGTTCAATTATTTATTCTGTTGCAAACGGCAATTTGTGCAATGTCCTTGTTATGTTTATCAGTGACATTCATTACTTGGAAGTTAGTGCACCTATACAGCTTTGTGGTGGAACCATGCTTATCAGTGACATTCTGTTGCATACGGCAATTATTTATTCTTTGAAGATTTCTCTCTTCGTTTGATGTCCATCTTGTATATCATCCTTTTGTAGTTAGTCATAGCATGCCATGAAACAAAAGGAGAATACAGTCTTTGTTCACTAATCTGGAGGAGGATCTCTTGTTCATTGATGTTGGAAAGGTAATTGATGTTTTTTAGAGAATAGGAAGGAGTTATGATGCTTTGGTAATTTAGCGAAAGAAGGCAAGAGTTTGGGTTTTACACGTTGAGGTTGAAATTCAGAAGTTGGGTTTTTAGTTAAATGAGGTTAATTGGGTTATATTTAAAGAAAGGTAAGTATTCTAATAAGGCTGTAAAGGATCTATGACATGGCGACAGACAAAGAATAGTGGAGGCTTGTGATTTTAAAGGCTGCATGTTTCCTAGGATAACCGTTTTATTTTGTTTTCATATAAAGATGTTCTTAAATTATCAAAAAAGAAAAAGAGATGTTGTTCCTAGGATTGCCTGCTTTCAGAATTTTATCATTGGAGATGGGGCAGATTCCTAATTCCCAACTGGTGATGAGATGAGATGGATGATGGAAGTATTAGAAGGCCCATGAAGTTTCAGATATTAAATTAGAAAAGCTATATCTCTGGCTTCAAGACTGGCTGTTACTTGGTTCCCAGATCTTTTAATTCTGTGGCAGATACTTTGGTGATGTTAAGGGTTACTTGTCAGTTGTGAACTAATATATGATGGTTTTACTGTAATGAGAGATGGGACAGACAGTCGACCGTTGCTTCTGGATTGATTAAAGAGGCTTCCTTTGGAAACCGGGGGAAAGTAATAAGGATCATCTGGTGAAGTGGGAAGTGGTATGCAGGAGTAAAGAAGAGGGAGGTCTAGGAATAGGGAATTTGATGCAAAAGAATGACTTTGTTGGGAAAATGGCTATGGAGATGGCTATTAGAGAGAGAAAGATTGTGGGTTGAAGTGATAGGAAGTATTCATGGCCACTCGGAGAGCGGACGGGATGCTGGGTCTCTCGGCGGACAACTTTGGCAGCACCTTGGAAGGCAATTCACAGTGCCCTCCTTCAACTCAACAATTTTCTCAGGTATAATGTGTGTACTGGTAACTCAATTCTCTTTTAGGAAGATATTTGGGTTGAAGAGGCTCCTTTGAAGGACCTCTTTCCGTCTTTATACACTATCTCCCGATACAAGAAAGAGCCTGTTTCTTCTTTTTTCTCCTCATTGGATTCTCTGTTGACTCCAGTTTGGGTTCCGATGAGGTCTAAGGGATGAGGAGATTGCGAGTCTTACTTGCCTTGTGAGTATCCTTGAAAAAGTTTGTTTGAACCCCATGGAATCATATAAAAGGTTTTGGACTCTTGTGCCCTCAGGTAGTTTTTCTTGTGCCTCATTCTTCAAAGCCCTTTGTCGTCCAGTGTCTGCTCCTCCTTTCCCTTTTAAGGAGGTTTGCTGCAAACCCATTCCCCCTAAGGACTTGGCTTTCTGTTGGGAAGTGTTTTATGGGAAAGTAAACACCTTGGATAATCTACAAAGGAGAAGACTCTATCTCTGCATTTCACCCAATTGGTGTACCCTTTGCAGATCCCATGGTGAGGACTGCAACCATTTGCTAATTTCCTGTACTGTTACAGTAGATTTGTGGGATTGGCTCTTCTTGATTTTTGGATGCAGGTGGAATAGGCCATCGAAGAGAACGAATAATGTGGAGGGTTGCAAGAGCAGCACTGCTTTGGACAGTGTGGGAAGAAAGGAATGCCAGAATATTCCAAGAGAAGGTGCGAAGCCAACAAGATCTGAAGGACTGTATCCTGTATAGGGCTATAGTGTCGCTAAAATCTTTGGAGTTATTTCAACAATTTTCTTTTAATGACCTGTGGAGGCATTGGGTAGAAGTGGCAAGCAGTTCCTCATTGAAGACAAAGATGCACATGAGCTGGCCCCCACCTGAAGGCTTCCTGAAATTAAATTTTGATGGGAGTAGCCTGGGCAACCCAGGTCCTTCTGGGATGGGAGGGGTTATAAGGAATGAACGTGGTTCTGTGGCTCTTCTTTTTTCAGATCCTTTAGGTGAGGGGGACTCCACGAGGGCAGAACTTTTAGCTGCACTACAAGGGGTACAGTTTGCTGTACAGATAAGAGCGGAGCAGCTATTAATAGAAGGTGATTCTAAGGTGGTTGTGGGGTGGTTACAGAATCCAGAGACTGTAGTTTGGGGCTTTAGAAATGAACTTAAAAGATTCAAATGCTTGATGAGAAACTTGTATGTTAGAATACAATGGGTGGGGAGATCTGCTAATGCTATGGTTGACTGTTTAGCCAAGCAAGGGGCAACGAGGGAACATTTGTATTGGGCTCAGGTGTAATCTTTTTGTTTTAAGTGTTTGAAGGGTTGGAGAGGTCACAGCTTGTGCCTCTCCAAGTGTCTCCTGTAAAAGTTGCTTCAATTTCTTTCTCTAATAAATTCTTCATTTATAAAAAAAAGAGGCCTTATAGGTGTCCTACTGACTGGTCATGGAGTGAACAAAAGCTCAATTGATGTATTACTATATTTCTTTCACAATCAAAATTCTAATATTTTCTGATAGGTAATAAATTTCTGATATTTTACCAGTAAAAACTTAAAATGGAGATTTCTTGATAATTTCAAATCACAAGAAAATAAACTTGTTTTTTAATGTTAGGGGGTATAAATGTAAGTAATTTTATCATAAGGAGGTGATGCAAATATGCATTTGGAGGTGTGTAAGTATAACATTATAACCTTGAAAACATTCCAAAGGGTTCCCTTCATTCAAAACCCATTGGAATCTTGGGTTTTTTTCTTCATATACTAATAAGATTTAGATTTTTGTTGTTGCTCAATATATATAATTTTCAAAACAAAAGGGTTACAATTGTAAAATGAATCCTTAATATCTCGTGGGGCATGTTACACAAAGACCAGAATTTGGTTATCATCCTCCTCTCTTTCTCTCCTTCTTGCAAATATACTCTTTAAGGGAGAAGTAAGAAACTCATAAGATGGGTCTCTTCCTCTCTTTGTTGACTAAGCTTGTGGTAGAGAGATGAGCTTCGCTTCTTCATTTAGTTACATTCTTCATGGCATAGTTGTTGAGGTGTATAAGTAATTCTAGGTGACAGTGGAGCTCCTAAGATCCTAAGTGATAGAACTTTACAAGGAAAAAAATATTTTTTAGGTCAGCTCCCTAGTTTTATACATCGCATGCATATAAATTGAAAAAAATAGCAATGCTCTAGAATCATGTAAATGGTATTCAGTCTGCAAGAAAGAAGGGAAAAGAGAGAATAATAGGGGATAGAAAAGAATCATGTGATGCAACAGACTGTTCTGCTCCTAATTAGTATGGGAAAGATGCATTAAGATAGGGATAAATTTGTGACTTATAAAAATGAAGTTAAGTAAAATGACACTAATACCCATGTTTACATGCATCTCAATAGTCCCCCTTAAGCTGGATCATGGATGTCATACAACCCCAACTTCTTACAAATATGAATCACCTGTCTCCATTAAAACTCTTAGTAAGCAAATTTGTCCACTGGTTTTTTGACTGCACAAATGTAGTAGAAACAATTTTATCCAGTAGTTTCTCTTGAACAAAGTGACAATTAACTTCTATAAACTTTGTCCTTTCATAGAATATTGGGTTGGAAGCAATACGAACGGTCACCTGATTGTCACAATATAGCCCCATTGGAGTTAGAACACAGTATCCGAGTTCTTCAAGATGTTGAAGCTACACCCAATACTTAGCTTTTGCACTGTGCCACCATCTTACTCTTCCATGTGACAGGATTGCCACCAAAAATGTGTAATGCCCAATAGTTGATCTCTTGTCACCAATAGGACTAGCCTAGTTGGCATTAATGTATCCCTTAGCCTCCAAATGATAATTTGTTCTCTATGACAAACCATGGCCAAGAGTTCCCTTTAAATATATGACTATTCTAATCACAACCTCCTAATA